AAAAAAAAAAAAAAAAAAAAAAAAAAAAAAAAAAAAAAAAAAAAAAAAAAAAAAAAAAAAAAACACGAAGCGCATACCCTGTTTAACTAAAGACAATAGCCTATCCAAACACATTTTGGCTATTTTTGGGAGCCGCCCTGCACATAAGCCAATTGCAGCAACCGTATCAGCTGCAAACCTTCTGTTTGGGTTTCTAATGTAATCCTAGAAACAAAAAGAAAAGGTTTGCTAACATCAAAGGCTTGAAGTCTGATGCAACCAAAAAAAAATAGCATTCGATATAATCAACTAAAAAGTCATTAGGTTCAATGATAATGAAGCAGAGAAGATGAAAAATGAATATTACCCATGCAAGAGGTACAAACTAACTAGATATTCCGATTTACTTCGCTAACCCCTAACTAATTATTGCTTGCCAAACTTAACATATGTAATATGTATGGAGGTCATGCATCTCTATCATTAATCTTCGGCATTTAAGCTTCCCAGTAAGAGCTCCCATAAGAAAATCATTTTCTTTGGGGTATTTTTCATCTCAAAGTGCCTTCCAAAGAGAGGGCTTAACCAAGGGATTTCCCCCAGATAGATCTGAGAACAGTGATATACTTGTGGGATGCCCGAGGAACCACATTTACGTTCATATCTGATGATATTTTCATCCTGTTCTATTTCTAGCTTCTATGTGGTGTTTTCACGAGGTTTAAATTTCATTTTCTTATAAGCAAACAAAATGGAGACCTTTTTGTTTCTTAGAGGTATTGATGACGTGGATTCTTATATGTTCTCTGTATTCTTTTCTTTATATCATACGAAGGTATAGGAAGTAAACTAATTTTACAATCGCCACATGACAACACAAAATAAAATCGAGAGTAAAAAAAGGTAGGAAATGCATAAATATTACCTGAAACTCATCAAGGATTGGTAAAATAAATGAACCAGTAGCAATGGATGATAGTATCTCAAGCTTCAATGCTTTAACTTGATACGAATCCGAAGAGCAGATGAAGAAGTCTTCATAGTGTGGAGCAAAGAGAGAAGGCATTGCCTTAGCAAACACTTGAATATTACAGAGAACCTGTGGAGGTCAATTGATATTTATTACAATCTGACAAGAGAAAACCGCTGGATGATAAAATAGCAATTAAACAAAAAGTAGGTATATATGCATGTGTGCAGAGATATGGGCATTACTTCAACTCTTAGTTTTAAAATGTAAGAAGTTCAAAATTCTTATGATGGGCTAAGAAGCATACAATCTCAACTAACAGCCGCTCACCTCTTAGTTTTCAAGAGTGAAAATTTTAAAACTTGTATAATCTTGGACGAACTTGAGCTTGAAACCTCAATAAGAGAATAGCCAACATGAGCACTCAATTTATTAAGGGTTATATCCTCGACTAAGAAATCACAGGTTCAAATTTTCATCTCCACACCTTGTTGAACTTTAAAAAAAAGAATTTAATGTGTGTGTCAGGCTAAAATATGCAAAAGCAATCACTTAAGCTTTCAGCAAATACACTCCCTACTATCTTTCCAAATCCCTTTCGCATGGTCAATTGAGATGAAAATGATCTCGCTTATTGGAGGATTGTCTAAGTTGCTCCTAGTGGATATATTAGTATAAGCCTAATAACGTTAGGAAGCCATTTACAATATGCGGCCTCCCAATTGAAAAATACGATATGATTAAAAATATCAAGAACAAGCAAAATACCACATATTTTGCAGCATCACATGATCTGAGTAGAAACACTAATGGTTTAACAATTCTTTTTATGTTCTCCCTTGGAGCCATAATCCAGTGTACGCTGGCAGCAGCAAGAACCACTGCACTGTTGTTGCTCCATAACAAAGGTGACGTACACTCCAATAAGATCCTGATATCATCATTCTCATTACTAGACACAAAATGTCCATCATCCAATTTTGGGAAAACTTCATTCGGATAACTTAGTCGTGATAGATATTCATCTGGTCCTTCAGTATAACATCTAGATATCATATTTGTTAATGCCGTATCATTAAATCCATTCATCTCACTTTCTTCATTGGCTGATGTAAAATTGTTTGCAAAGCCATTCTTTTCTGAACCAGAATTCCCTACAGATTGCAGAGAATGCATAATAGATTCCCTAACAAGCCCAATACTTGCTACGACATAGCGTAAAATAACTCCGATTAAGATTATTTGACCCCATTCCTCAACATCAGGTAAGACCTCACATAACCTTCGATAATTTCTTCCAATCAAAGTCAGATCATTTGGACAGATAGAAGCAAATGCAGCGGCGGCAGCACCGATGACACCAGGGGAGGAATCGCCCAACAGTATCAGAATAATCTGCAAAATATTGCAAACTTAATTAAGAGTGCGGTAGCACTCAGAAAACATAATGAGCTTCTATGGAGTAGGAACACTGAATATAAGGGTTGAGCAAGCAAAGAATCAGCCAACAGACTAAACGTAATACACATTTCCCCCTCTCTTTGACCTTCCAATAAACATCCATGGTCTAGTAACGACAAATTTACTCGTCAAGCCATGAATCAAGCAAACCTCTTTAATAGCCGTGGCATTTTCTTCCAGGCGCAAATCATGAAGCTTTGGAAGAGCATTGGCTGCACATTTTCTGACATACACTGATGGGTCCCTGGCACATTTCCTCACTGCCACAAGAGCGAGAGGTGCAATGTCATGCAGACGAATTCCTGCCATGGTCCGCAGTGCCCACGCCCTCACAAGAGGATTCGTATCCACCAAATCCTTCTGGAAACAATTGATAGACAGCAATGCTTCCTTTGGACGCCTAAAGTGCAAAACATACCATAAATGTAACATACATTGTCACACCTCAAACATTCACCAATGGACAACAAACCATAACTCAGGAGCAGCTCATGATGATCGAACATAGCCCATGTCACGACGCTAAGATTACGAAATTTAAAGCCACGATCAACCACAACACAACCATTACTCTAGATGAAAGAGCAAGGAAAGATATTTATGACCAGAAACTAAAAGGCGAAATATACCGTACTTTTCAGCATAATGCAACAGGTACAAGTATACAAGCTTCTTCACCTCCAACGTCTGCGATGCAACATTCTTAACAACCTGAAGTTCCATTCAAATTAAAATCAGAACATGTAACCACTGAGACCTCCAAAGCTCAACGAATTAAATGACGCCGAATTTCAAGCAATAGAGCGTGAGTACAACAAATAATTACAAGGAGAAAAAAAAAACTTGTGCTTCATTAAACGTCACCTGAGGGAAGAAGTTGGAAACGTCACAACCCTGAGCAATGAGAGCAAGTAAGCGCTTGAGTGCCTCGCATTTTTCGGAGTCAAACCTGCTGTCGAGCAAGGGACCGATGTTCACGTCCACAGGATCGTCGTAGAGGTGGGCGTCTGTGCCGATCCGAGACACCATGGTGGAAGCCTTGCTCAGCGTGTCGGAGGTTGATCCAAATTGAGTGAACATTCTAGACTCGATTCCAGCTTCTGAATTAGGAAGTTTCGAAGAGAAACGGAAACTGGTTCAAGATCAAGAATCTAGATTGAGATTTTGGCCGGTGATGGCAGTAAATTCCGGTGGGTTGAGATGAATTGAAGAACGAGTTCTATTGCCGCGCCATTGCGATGTGTTTATTGAAGAGACTGAGCGGCTTGCCGAATGGAGAGCTACGACGGAGGGCAGCTGATCCTGTTTTTTCTGTTTTTTGTTTCAAATAAAAAATCATTAATATTATTTTATTCATATTTGGTTAACTTCCAATTTTTTTTTTTTTTTTTGTATATAATTATTTTAAAAGTTTCAATCTAATTATTATAAATATGTGAATTTTAAAATTCAAATCTAAATTAAGTAAGTAATTAAAATATATAATAATAAATTTGGGATTAATTAAAAATTTAACAGTTTTCAAACAAAATTAAAAAAGAGTGAAATTTGACGCAATAAATTATTTCAGTATTTTTTTTAGTATAATGATGCAAAGTTGAAAATATCAAAATTTTATTTTTAAAATAAACGTGTTTAACTAACAAAATTTATTTTGAGAGATATGTATGATTAAATATATAAATAAAATAATAAGAATAATAATAATAATTAACCCTAAGATAAGGACAATTATTGTAGTTATTAAATTGCGGGCAACCCTCAAAAGTAATTTCGCGATATTCGTAGGCGCAGGCATAAATCCAATAAAATGTTGCCACGTCAGAACGCTCAGAAGTCAATAAGCAAAATTTTGTTGGTCAAAGCTAACAGGATTCAGCCATGGAGATTGACGCTTTTGGAGTGTGTGTGAGCCTCTGACGATTCCCTAAACGCGCTCACATGCGCGCGTACGATATTCATCATCTTTTGCTCTTAGCCTTAGCGTACCAAATCGCGGACCCCGCGCAGGCCCCAGTTCGACTTTGTCGCATTTCCCCGTGTCTCAGCTTTTTCTACTGTCCAAACTCGGTCCTCACTCCAACCCCAGTTCTTGGATTCGCTCTCAATTCGCGAATTCAATTCCCCTTTTCTCTCCCAGCTCAGAGAACCACCACTCGTTTGTTTTTCTGCGCCAGACGCCTCTCGATTCTCCGATTGTCGTCAGGTGATCTATGTTCTGTTTTTGCTTTGTGAAGATTTTGTTCTCTTTTCACTTTTCTGGATTTTGGGTATGCTTCTATTTGAATTGGGGTGGATTAGTGAGTTCATAATTTCCTTGTCCGTTTCATGCATGGATTTGCTTCTGTTCTATGAATAAAATTGCGATGTATTGCTCTTTTGAGCTGGGTATTTGAGATTCTTGCATATTCCTATGTTCGACATTTGGTTTGGATCATCCTTCTTGTTCTTGTTTACTGATCTGGTTTTACTGTCCAGGTTTAGCTGCCATTAATGGAGTTTCTTTTCCTCCTTTCACGTGGAAGTGTGATTTAGCTAACATTTTCTAGATCTCTTTCTTTCTTTATTTTTTTTATTTTACACATGACCTAGGGGTTAGGATGTCTTTCATGGGTTAGGGGTTTGTGGTTGTCCCAAAAGCTCTGTAGAGAAAATTTCCTTACTTTATGATAAGCATAACATGGTTAAACCTCAATGTTTGATTGGACGATGGGAGTCACCAGTTAAAATTGTCTTTGTGTCTGTCTGTCTCTACTGGACAATGTTATCCTAATAATCTATGAAGCATCCATTGTGTTATCTACTGTCTTTGATTCCATTAGATTCAAATGTCACAGACAAAATTATATATAAATATGAATTTAACTAGAGAGATTTTTTCTCTAGGTGCTGTTCATCAAGTTGGATGGGAAGTTCCACAGATGATTCTGATGTGGACACTGATATCAGTGAATCTGAATTGGAAGAGAGGGAAAGCAGGTCATATGAAGAACTGAAAAATGGAAATCACATCGTGAAACTCTCGCACGAGACATTTACTTGCCCCTATTGTACGAGAAAGAGAAAGAGGGATTTCTTATACAAGGATCTCCTGCAGCATGCTTCTGGTGTAGGCAAAAGTTCTTCCAATAAACGGAATGCCAAAGAGAAAGCTAATCATTTAGCTCTATTGAAATATTTGGAAAAAGATCTAGCTGATGCTGTTGGTCCATCAAAACCTGCTAGCAACAATGATCCTGTTATGGATTGCAATCATGATGAAAAGTTTGTGTGGCCTTGGAGAGGAATTGTGGTAAACATTCCGACTAGGCGTACAGACGATGGACGATATGTGGGAGGAAGTGGATCAAAGTTTAGAGATGAGTTGAAAGAAAGAGGATTTAATCCCACAAGGGTTATTCCATTATGGAATTATCGGGGCCACTCAGGTTATGCTATTGTGGAATTTAATAAAGATTGGCCTGGTTTGCATAATGCTATTTCGTTCGAGAGGGCTTACGAGGCAGATCATCATGGGAAAAAGGATTGGCTGGCTAAAGGTACTGAGAAACTAGGACTTTATGCTTGGGTTGCTCGTGCTGATGATTACAACGCAAATAATATAATTGGGGAACATTTACGTAAGATTGGAGACCTTAAAACCATATCTGAAATTATTCAGGAGGAAGCACGGAAGCAAGATAGGCTCGTGTCCAATCTTACAAGTATCATTGAGCTCAAGAACAAACACTTGAAAGAGATGGAGAAAAGATGTAGTGAAACTGCCACCACCCTTAACAATTTAATGGGGGAGAGAGAGACATTACTTCAAGCCTATAACGAAGGTTTCTTATATAAATCTTTAAAATTTTCAAAGCAGGACATTCATTCCATGTTCTTACATATTGCTTTTTCTTTCATGGAGATTCCAAGTTGCATCATTGAACTCATGTAATGTTTGTCACATCTGCAGAGATCAAAAAAATCCAACTGGGTGCCAGAGATCACCTTAAGAAGATCTTCAATGATCATGAAAAACTAAAGTTGCAACTGGATTCTCAGAAAAAAGAGTTCGAGTCAAGAGGAAGAGAACTGGAAAAGCGTGAAGCCCAAAACGAAAATGAGAGCAAGTATCTGGCTGAAGAAATTGAAAAGGTACACATTTAGGAAAAAAAAAAAAAAAAAAGAAAAGTTCACAGGAAATAATTTATGCATTAAATAGTTAACCAATTACAAAAAGAGAAGGTACATTCTCTAGTGGTTGATTCTCTCGACGACTGTTCTTGGGTTCATGATTTGCAGAGGTGAAGGGAAAACTGGGTGTCATCTTTCACCAATCTTTGCTGGTAGTTATGACAAGATGTTAGTCTAATCTGAATGTCAGACAGATGTTAGGAGACTTCATTGCATTCCTCAATTTATTAATTTGTTAATTAAATTTATTTTATAACTTATTGAATTTATGTTTGACTTCTTCAACTCTCCCAATAGATCCATCCCTGCACATCTACACACACAAAGAAGCCACAGAATTGTGCAGTTTTCCTTTGACATATCAACTTGCTAGTGTGACAAACATGGTGGTTTCCGTCTTGTTCCGAAACGGATTTATATTACTTATTGATTAGGATTTTCTGATTTGTTGCTTTCTGTAATGTCTGAACCGACATCCATGGGATACATATGAACGCTGCAGTCTATGACTTAGTGAGCGTGTGATTTGGTATCATGCTTTTATTGTGTGCATGCGCGTGTTTTTTTTTTTTCTTGTGGGCATGGAGAGATTCTTGACCATTAAACTCATGTTCTTTTTATTTTCAGTATGAGGTGAGAAATAGTTCTCTTCAATTGGCTGAATTAGAGCAGCAGAAGGCTGATGAAGATTTTATGAAGCTGGCAGATGATCAAAAGGTTTGTGGCGGGTGTGCTCTATCAATCATCAGAATATTTCCTTGTCAAAATTAGATCATAACAGGGATTCACATTTATTTCTAATGATTCAGAAACAAAAAGAGGACCTCCACAATAGAATAATCCGACTGGAAAAACAACTGGATGCCAAACAAGCACTAGAGTTGGAAATTGAGCGTCTTCGTGGGACATTGAATGTTATGAAGCACATGGAAGATGATGAGGATGTGGAAGTCCTCCAAAAGGCAGAGTCAATTCTAAAAGATTTGAGTGAAAAGGAAGGAGAACTTGAAGAACTCGATGAACTTAACCAAACATTGATAGTAAAGCAGCGCAAGAGTAATGACGAGCTCCAAGAAGCTCGTAAAGAGATAATTAATGTAAGAATATTTTGTCAACTAATTTTTTGTTCATGTTGCTAAATGGGTACTTCTGTTTTTCCTGTTTGTAAATTTAAAAATTCGAACTCCTAATACAGTTTAATTCTCTCATTTCGTAGGCTTTCAAAGATTTGCCTGGTCGTTCTCACTTGCGTGTTAAGAGAATGGGTGAATTAGATACAAAACCATTCCATGAAGCAATGAAGAAGATATATAACGAGGAGGAAGCAGATGAGAGAGCTTCAGAGCTGTGCTCATTGTGGGCAGAATATCTCAAGGACCCAGATTGGCATCCTTTCAAAGTAATTAAGGTCGAAGGAAAAGATACCGCCGAAGGAAAAGATAAGGTTATTCTTGAATTTGTATTTTCATTTTTGGTTCACTTGGACGATTCAATACTCATGTATGATTCAATATGCTGTGTAGAAGAAAATCACCGAATATGCTAGCTTTCTTCATTCTTTTCTTTGTGGGCGTTCTCGAGCTACGTAGATTCTCCTTTTACCTGCAGAGGCCCTTTTGATGTTTATGTTTAACCATTTGTCATTATGCTGTCTTAGGAAATTGAAATTTTGAATGATGAAGATGAGAAACTGGAAGGTCTGAAAAAGGATTATGGCGAGGAAGTATACAAGGCTGTGGCGTCGGCTTTAATGGAGATAAACGAATACAATCCCAGTGGACGGTATATAATATCGGAGCTGTGGAACTACCAAGAGGAAAGGAAAGCAACGTTGCGAGAGGGAGTAAAATTCTTACTGGACAAGCTGAATAAAAACAACTAGAAAAGGGAAACACCCTGAAGGTTGGTATTCAATTTTGTGGTTGATAAAATTTACTGGATTTTTTTGACTGGAAATAAGAACAAAAATGCAGATTAGAACTTGTTGTGTCAGTCTGAATCCTTTTCAAGCAATTGCTACTCCTACATTGGTTTTCTGAAAGTAATTTGCTTGGCTCCTGGTTTGCATCATTCTGTAAATAACATTAGATTTATTGAACTGCTGCAGCAGCCATAATGATTGAACCAACAACATTGCCTTGAAATAAAACGCAACACGTTTTTTCGTTCAGCATGCTCGTATGGAGTCATCTGATATTTCTTTACAGAAAATCAAAACATGGGCGTGGAGATGAAGTTCTCTTCCTTGCAACTAGAAGACATAACCAGGAGATGGAGGACTATGAGCCAGTAAGTCATGTCACTGTATGTGTTCTGTATCCAGTATTGATAATGCAGACTTGTTTATCTATTATCATTTACTGATCTTACTATTTAATTTGCTCTGAAAACGTATTATAGTTTGTCGTCTTCAATCCGAGGGGCGATTTGTAACCTACATGTAATGTCGAGTCTAGAGACTGAGTGATAATTTCTATCTTATTCATGTTTCAATAATGTAAGAGCTTCTGAGCAATTTTATGAATAGCTTGGATAGCCATTGTTGTTGAACTCCAGTTTAAATTATTGGGATGATTTGGTTCTTTTTCTTTACATTTCTTCTGCAATTACAACTGTGTGTGATTAAAGCCAGACTTCTTCATGTTAATGGTTGTTCAGACCAAAATAAGGTTTCATACTTTGTCATGTGTGGTTTCAGACCCATTTGGTTTCTACTCTGGTGATGCTTTTTCTTGGAGGGACTATAAAGAAAAGGAAGGTCAAAATATATTCTAGTCTTTGTAATTTAGTTCTTTAAACTTTTTTGGTCTCTGTTTCTTTTTAACCATCGAGTTCTTGCAACTGTTGAAGTATCCATAACATTATATGTGATAAACAGAAGGAAAACTCCATTCATATATTAATTTACACGGTTGATTAAGTTTATGTTTCAATTACCCATGGAAGGATTTTCACACATCAATTTAAACCTCTACGAACACAAACCCAGTTCTCGAAAATAGGACCTAAATGAAAATAAATAGATTCTTGTATTCCCTCTTGCTTTCAGTGTCGATCAGACATGATGGTTTTGAATGTTTGATCTTAGCTAAAATACAAGCAAGAACAATAAAAAGATGGTGATAGATAGAGCGACGCCAGTGAATACATCGTAGTTATTAAAAATGTGAATACAATGAAGATCGTAGTTATTAAAAATAGAAACAAGAAACTAGAAGAACCTGATGTAAGAAAAAAGAACAAAACTGCAAGAAGTAATTTCAAGAATGAAAAACTAAACAAAGAAAAAAGCATTGGCGTCAGCTTTCCGATTAGCTTTCTCTATTGCAATACCGAACACAAACAAAATTAATCTTTCATTTACTTTGCCCATCTCATGATGTACCAACAAAATGACTCTAATACTAAACAGCACCAAGCACGCCCTGAAAGTAGAATGGTCCGACAAAAGCCATAGCAAGCTAAATTAATTGCAGAGCTTCACCATGGCTGCAAGAGTTAACATTCAACCATTCTAATTAGAGTTGGGTGTTAAGGTCTTATAATCCCAATTACAAAGCAACCGATGCAGAGAGTCAGAGACCATTCTTTCTTGCTCCTCATGGAAGAACATGCTTTAATAATCCTGATAATCTATCTACATCAACACATGTGAGAAAATAATTGAAGAGTCCTAAATCCCAACCTCAAATATATAAAAGAAAGAAGAAAAGGGAAAATCAGACTGTCTTTTGCCAAAATAGAGGAACAAAACAGAAACATTCAACACAAACTGATGATGATTCACAGAAGCCACGACCGGGATAGAGGAACAAGCCCACCACAATCTCATCAGGCTTTGATTTCGTTCCCAGAAGGCACACCACCGCGACCAAGAGCGTTTTTTTTCGCTCTTTCAATTGATTTGATCTTCTTGTACCATTTTACGTGCCGCAGCAAGATGACTTTTGGGCCGCTTGACCACCCCCGTCTGCTGCGTCTGGCTTGTTTATTTTGATTGTTTGAGGCTGGATTACAAACGGATCTCATTCACATCAAGGTTTTACTTGGTGACAACAATTTCTTCATACAATCCTTAAGAAAATTCAAAGCAATCCAGGATTGAAAACAAAGTACATACCTCTGCCTTCGAATCAGTGTCTGCAAGCCTTTGCTTAATGTCCCTAGCAATTGAAAAGAAAACCTCCTCGACATTCAGGTTTGTCTTTGCACTCTGCAGAATATGTTAAATGCAAGAACAAAGAAGCACAAATAAATATTTACTACAAATATTCTAACTTTACGTGGTCTTGAAGCATTTCTAACTTACCGTTTCAAAGAATTTGATTCCATATTCATCAGCAAGAGCTTGACCTTTAGAAGTAGGCACAGCCTGTGACAAGATTAAAAAAGAAAGATACAGAGTAAACAAAGGAAACATCAATTGCGAAATATTGAAACTAACTCCTACTTTGTTACATTAGAAGGCCAAGTATGAACTTTAAAATGGAGTTGCATTTTAAGTTCTTGGACCTGTAATTCTTTGGTGCCAAGCAATAAGAAAGACAGGTTGGGAGCAATCTAGCAATACAAAATGCTTACCCTTTTACTTTCATCCATATCAGCTTTGTTTCCTACCAGTATCTTGTTCACATTATCAGATGCATGCTGTTCAATGTTGCGAATCCAATTCCTAATGTCTGAATAAGAAAAGAATAAACTTCATAACAGAAAGAAATAAGAAAATTGTAGAAGCGATTAGAAACCGAAGTTAGGGGGAGCCATTTGAACCCAAAAATCCAAAAATACCCCCAAGATATCCCACCAACATGAGTTGGAGGGTGAGCTTGACTCATACTTTTTAGTTTAAACATTTTTTTAGAAAAATATAACACTTTTAATAAAAGTGATTTTAATTAGAATACTTATATGTTTAGTTACATTTTCCTAAGAGTACATAAAATCAAAAGTGTGTTTGGTCACTGCATCCAAAAGGTGACTGTACGAATACTAAATAGCTAAAAGTAATTTGAAAAATTGATCCTTAGTCAATTACTATAACCTTTTTGGAATGTTAAGGTAATTCTTTTTAAATGTTTTAAAGCAATCAGATTTTTTTTAAATGTTTTTATTTGTTACCAAACTATACAAATTTAAGAAAAATGCTTTTAGTCATCCAAAATCACTCAAGTAGGTAAGCCAAACACTCTTACTTGGCTTGAGGTATAACAATATGTTTCAATCAGCTCAGTTTGATACACAAACAAGGTCAGTTGGTTTGTTCGGTTATTATAGATGGTCAGTTGTGGTCGGTTAAGCCCAATTTTAATCCATTTCAGTTCAAAGAGTCATTTTTTAAAACTATAGGTTAATTTGACATCGAGGCAAAAAAATCCAACCCACTTATACCCCTAACTAGAGCTCTACAAGAGTAGAACTTACCCACCTTGATGAAAATTTATGGTTACATAAACTAATTTCACATGTTAGAAAAATCTTGAATGAAATGGTAGACAGAATGAATCATGAGCCCATCAATGTCAAAGATTTTATATTATATATAAAAGATAAGCGTAGCAATCGCAAATCAATGCATCCAAAAGAGGCAATAAAATAACTCACTGTTAAAAGATGACTCGTCAGTGACATCGTAGACCAGCAAAATTCCCATGGCTCCTCGATAGTAAGCTACAGTGTGAAAAACAAAATTACACCAACATTCAAACTATAATCATCATAGTACAGACACAATAAAGTTTTCACTTCACTATCACTGGAATAAGAATGGGTTTTAGGGAATTGACGAAGGGAGTTACTTCATTACCACTTCTCTCTCCATGCCACATGACAGGAATTAGAGGCAATTTCATGAAATAAACTTATTCCATATTTCTACCGTTTCCTACAAATAAAAATAAAAGAACTAGAAGCACTTGGTCTCAAATCAGACATTGATACTTCAGAACTAATTCTTTTCATTCCTAAATCAAAAGAATTGAAATGTTCGATGTCAAATTAAATAATAAAATAAGCTCATAAACTTAAACTGTTTTTTGAAATCTCAAGCCTTCACTTTCAAGCTTTATTCCAAAACATTTTCCAATGGGCTAAAACAGACGAGGTTGAATGGTCACAGAATTTTGGAGGGCCAACCCAGATACATTAAAGATCAGCATTATCCCTGATTTCCAATCTACATTCAAATAGTACAAAAATTTACTAGAGGAAGCATCTATCCTAAATAATATCTGGGAGAAACAATATTAGATATCAGATACATGCCTGTTGTGATAGTCCGGAAACGCTCCTGACCAGCTGTATCCCAGATTTGCAATTTGATTCTCTTCCCATCAAGCTCAATGGTTCTTATCTTAAAATCAATACTGCCATGAGATGCATATTAGCTGATATTAAAGAGATGCTTCCAAGCTACTCGTACTTAGAAAACATATAGAATTTTTTATGCAGATCAATTAATATCATACACAACATTACCAGTACATAAAAAATGTAAAACCAGCTATTTGATAAAATGATTGTTTCAAACCACTTTAGTACCTACTACCTCATTTCAGTTAATAGTCCCAACTACGAGTCTATGACCATTACGAAGCCTTTGGAATTTTTTATTATTTTTTTTGAATTGAAACAGTACTAAAACATTTCAACATGCAAACTTCAAGGGTACCCAGGCTACAAACCCAATTGTGGTGATAAAACTGGTTGTAAAAGAACCATCAGAAAAACGCAGAAGCAGACAACTCTTTCCCACACCTGCAAAACAATTGAAACCGAAAAAGCTAACGTGAACACTATTGGTATGCGAAATTGATAGGCTCACAAGTCTATCACAAAATTTTCATGAGATTCCCATAAATAAACTTACTATTCTTTAATGAAAAATGAACTTTCCTTTTGCTAGAGGCCAACTAGCTCTAACAATTAAAGCACTTAAATTAGTCAGTGGCAGAGAGGCCAAACGTTACACCTACAATGCATCATACTAAGCACATGCGGAACCACAAACAAAAACATCAGTCAATTAACAGGAAATTTCACCTCGATTCCAACAGACATTTAAGCATAAATTAATATTCTCGAACAGAAAAAGGTCACGTTCTCCATGTTGGGCGTCAGAAGATCACGGCCACTTTTACCAGGTATACGTCGTTGTTGCACACAGAACTACGGCGTATTCCACCAGAGAATGAAATGTAAACAATAATATGTCGAGAATGCCATACTTGACCCCAAAGAGGTTCCCAAATAGAGGGAGAGATCAACAAGAATCAACCATTTCAAATCAAAAGGCCCAAACACATAACGAAAACATGCAACGAATTCACTCCCACCAAAACGAGAAAACCCGAAATCACATTGATGAAAACAAATCCCACACCACACTACACATGACCCATTCATCAGATCTCTAAGAGCACCTCCCATTTCCATCATTTGCTTCGTACCCAAACATAAAAAAAGCAAACACAATAACTTAAAACTCGCAACAAAACCAAGGATTTGGGAACATACCGCTATCGCCAATAAGCAAAAGCTTAATGAGGTAATCGTAATCAGCACGAGCCCTTGCCGGTGGTGCAGCCATCGGTTTCCAGTATCTTTCAACGAAATTTTATTCCCTCCTGCGACCCAGAAAAAGAGGGCGGACACAAACAACGACTCAATGAAATCGAACCGATACCTCCGTCAAAAGATCAAACACAGAGAGAGAAGAGGAGATATTACCTTAACGAAGCTTAGCAAGTCGTCGGCGACATCGAGCGTGGAGAGAGAGAGAGAGAGAAATGAAAACAGATACTCTGATTTCGCGCGGAGATTGGCCGATTGGGACCGAACGACTGCGCCGAGACGCGTGTATACGAAAAGCGCTTTTTCCTTCTAGGAAATGTGCTCAGTGTTTCCAATCCTACACTCGGCTACACTCGATCCTACTTTTTTTTTTTCTAAATTATTTATTTCCATTTACATTAATTAAGTGCCAAAAAAAAATAATAATAAATAACCGAAAAATGAGCACTTCCATCTCTTAAAATTAAATAATAAATTTACCCATAGGTTCATAAAATCTTTGCAATTTGTATCTTTTTATCACTCCAAAATAATAATAATAACAATAAATAATAAATTCAAGTAATGAATTTTTTTTCTTTAAGGTTTAAAATAATTTTTAAAGATTTTGTATTTCTTTTGCATATGTCCTAATTTTTCAATAATTTGACTTTAGTTTTTTCATTATTTTTTATTTGTTAGTTTATTAAAATATAAGTAATAGAATTCCAAGAAAAATATGCCCCAACACCATAAATTATATTTGTGGGTACGTTTCAATGGCTTGTGAAGAAGTTTTTCAAAAAATACATTTTTTTTAAAGAAAATAACCGTTTAGATTAAAATAATGTTTGATTAAATTTTCTCAAGAGAGTAAGTGCATAAGTTTAATCGGTTCCCATGACACCTAAAAATACTTCTACAAATGTCGTAGTATAAAAAAAACGACTATTAAATACAATGATCTAATGATTTCAATTTTATGTTTAAAATGTTATGATCGATCAACCATGCCAATGGCCTATACCTAAACCTTAATTGTAAGAAGCGCTGTTAGAAGGCAAATACTTCATTTTAGAGAGACAAATACCTTTAAATGAGGGGCGAGTCAAGGAAGAAAGACTTTTGTTTACAATGAAGACTAACAAAGAAAGAAACTTGTAAAAAAGAGTCAGTTTTCATTTATCTTTCATGAAGAAAGCATCTGAATTGTTCACCAAATTCAAGAAACAAAAACACATGGTACTCGAACGGAGCAATTTTAACTAATATGATTGATATGATACCGCCCAAATTTACAATTTTCAGAAGCAAAACACTACAGTTTCAGGTATGAATACAGTAAAAACAGAGCAAAATGGACACTTCAGACTGCCAAATGCTCTGTGGCTGTGGGGGAAATGAGCACAAGAAGATAAAATAATAATGATTACACAATGAACGCTTCCAGAAAAAACCCATACAAGGCAGGCAGGCAGTTAAATGTCCTAAAAATATCGGACACCTGCAATGCTCTGAAAAAATAAGATACATTATTTTGATGATATTTTTCTCCATCAGTTAAGCTGACTTTACAGACTTGCACAAGCAAAGAAGATAAAAAAAACATGGTTAAAAGACTGCCTTCAGGAATGACAAAAACAGAAGAAGGCTTGGAGGTAATGTGGTTTCTGTACAAATGAAATGAATCTTCTTAAGTTTCACTTGCAAGTCGCCTGAAATTATGATAAACAACATACAGCTGTTTCCACGACAAAGAAGACGTGTCAGTGCAACTATTGAAAATAAGTTATAGCCTTATAGGTTTCTCAAAGAATATTCCAAGTTGCAACACAAAAAGAACAGCGTATTCATCTGGGAAATGGAAAGAAAATAAGTCAAGCATGGAGATTATACTTAAAGTTTGAGAAGATAATAGGGAAGTACCTGATGAAAGTATCAAAAAATTTCCATTTCCAATGATTTGTGGCAGAACAGGCAGACAAATCAATCGATGGGGGTAATCCAATAGGCTTTCCCGAATGCCTTAGTCACTATCTCCTTGACGTACGTTGAAAAGAAAAGTTAATAGACATAGCCAAGGAGGGATCTCTACAATAGCTAATCTGCAGGGCCAGTCATCAAATCAGCTCACCATCTTCGTGCGTGCTTAGCTAAGAACCAACTGTACAGTGGCAGGATATAACTATGAATAAACAAGATCATCCCGTTGTATCACTATTGCCTTTCTCAATGGATAGTCATTCTCCTAGAGTGATCTAAATTAAGTTGCCATATGAGTAGACAAGCTCTGTCATGTACACTTAGTCGGGCGCATTTCTTCATATGCTCCAAAGATGGAATATAAAGTGAGTGAACGAACACCATGTGTATCAAAACTTTTTCTGCACACGGCCGAATGTGATGCATTCATGTCAAAAACAGAATGCTTCCAGAAAATCAGAGTAAATCACAATTCGATACCCATATCGTTTGCCAGTTTAAGTATACCACGCATCTGAAGGTATGGATTTTCCAACAGCTTCTCATTATTGCTCTGCATGGTGTGAGCAGAAAGCAAGCAAGCAAGCATGTTAGCACTTTCAGCTCAATTATCAAACGAAGAGAACATCTTGGCTAAATTAATTCTAGCAATACCGCGAGAGACTTGAAGGTCTGTTTTTGACATGCGTGAATTGGGATGTAAAACCAAAGAGTAAGACAAACATGTAAAGTATATGGGAATAAATTTTATAACATGAGATGTAGATTTCCATTAATTTATTATCTAAAATCAAGCTATATTTGTTATAAACTAATTAATAATAGAGTTGAATTAAATTCATAAAATAATTATTACATACAAATTTAAGTTCTTCTTTCCCTCCCCTTTTTCTTATGAGCTCTTTCTAATTCAATACAAGTATTGCTTATCCTTAAAAATAAAGACTGCACATGGAAAAGAGACAAGAAGCGAGCAGTCAAATCATAGAATCTGCTTTTACAAAGGCCCCACAGCCTCCAGGTGACGTCCAGTGCGAGGAAAGCTGACTTAAAATGTCTATGAACCCTAACTTTTCAAAATACAACAATTATTTGAATGTTTTTGCTTTCCATTAAAAAAGGGCTAACTATAGGGCATTTCTAGTGTAACACCCTGACTTCTTTCTTTTCTTTTTCCCCTCACTCATTTGGTAAATCAAACTAAACTTTGTTTATTCCTTTTGGGCTCCCTCTTGCGCTTTGTTTTTATGTCGAGGTCCTTGTTTTTGGACTATTTGTAAGCCTTTCATTCTTTTCCAATGAAAGTTCAGTTTTTTACCCAAAAGGAAACAAAAAAATAAAAATAAACTTTGTTGGTGCACGGTAACACTAGTAGAGATAATGTGAATGCCTAATACAAATAAATTTAAAAAGTTCTGCAGATACATTAATCAAATCAGAATATGTACTTGACAACAAATGTGATAACATCACCTGCTGAGCTTTGATTACAAGATTCTGAAGCATGTATTGGTACTTTTCAGGTTTCTCTGTCATCATACGCTGAAAACCAAAAATTTTTATTCATAAACGAAAGGAAAAATAAAATTGAAATTTCATAAAAATATATTTCATGGTGGAAAGGAATTTTCTTGCCTTCAAAAGAAACGCTGAAGAGTAATAGGCCACCCTTGAATCTGTATCATCTAGAAGCTCTCTGTAAAATCCCAACAAAGCAACACTTTAACGTATCCACACATAGAAGGAAAATTCAGGAAAGGAGAAAGGGAACTATGAGTAACCACCTGAAAAATTGTTCCCCATCCACTTCTTGGAAAGCCAATGAATCAGAACTGCACTTAGCAATAAGAAGTAAGAGCAGCGCTGCCCGTATGTCAGAGGCGGCACCTGGGTGGTTCCCTCTTGCTTGGCTTCCAACAGCAACACCCAAAGCAATGTTGTCTGTTGCTGCCCCAGCAAGTTGAATCAACGGCCAGTAGAACAGAGCAGCAGGAACATGTGAAATCAACTGCATGGGGACAATAGTCTGTCCTTGAAGCAGTAATGCTGCCATGGAGGCTGTATCATGACCAAGAGGATTGTTATAAGTTTTACTATATCTACTTTTCTCCTCCTTTAGCTCTCCAAAGTAATTACCATCCAGTTTAGCTTCAAATTCAATAGCCCCTATCGTTTTACTTGCACCTGAGTAATCTAAAACTCTGCCGTGGGGCATATCATCTCCAATTGGTAGTTCAGAAGCTTGTGGTACTCTCAGGCATAATTGAGAGAAAAGTATGTCACACATCTGTTCAGGAAAACACAGAGCATATGTAGATGATATTTAAGTACGTCTAAAATATAATGTAACCCATTAGCTTTGGGGTTCATTGGTGATTTAACAAATAGGTAGAACAAAGAGCATATGTAGATGACACTTAAGTACCTTTAAAATATTGATGCGATCTGTTTCGTTGATCTGAAAGACCAAGAAAAGAGAACTGCACATAATGTCTATCACTGCATTAGCTATCTCCAGACGGCTATCTTTGGATGCCTGGTCAAGATTATTGCTGCCAGAATTTCGCATTTCATTCTCATTCAACAAAAATTTGCATCGCATAAGAAGTCTTTCTACTACAAATAAAAAGCCCCATCTAATGATGTTGTGTTTCGAATTTAAAAGTCCACACATTAGCCAGATGGAAAGGGGTACGTCTGAAGCAGCTGAATAATCATTTACACCAGCGTATGCAATTCTCTGCTGTAATCTTTTCACATTTGTCCACATACTCTCATCCCTTTCACCAGTTATTTCTTCAAATAGAAGATCCCCCAGCCAAACGTGACCATTTTGACGATAAGCAATTCTCTCTGAATGAAGAAGAGAATGCAGAGTGGCCCATGATAGTTTGGATTTCATGCTAACACCATTTCTTAATCCAGAACCTTGAATACTTTCAAAAAGTTTGAGAGATTTGGTTATCTGTATCATATAAGAGAACTCATTGTCCAAATGCGTAAATGATTTGATTATTGTATTAAAATTTTCCATTACGTTCTCCAAGAGCTGCAAAAGAAGATGAACAATCAAATGTTGGTATCAAGTTCTAGATAAAATTAAGAGAAAAATACATTTGATCTCAGCCTTACAAGAATAGTTTGAACACCTTAAAGCCAGGAAATTTGCAATAAGGCTTCCAGTTAACAACAATATGACAGAGTGATCTCATAGGTACTGGATAGTATAATTTTTTCTTTTAGTAAAAGAGTAAGGGGTGAAGATCACCCTACAAGATCTCGAGTCAATTTGAGAGGGCTGAGAACTCTCCCAAGAGGGTACTCCTTCCGAAAT